TTCGTAGAGTGATTCATGTCCTTGTGTTGCCTGTTAAATGAGTCATCAGAACAGAAGAGATGATATATGGCTAGATGCTAACATGGTGGGGAAGGAGAAAAACCTATCCCAAGAGGAACCACAGATTTTAAGAAAGTATTTCAGTCCCCTTCCTGCTATTGAGACCTCTTCAATTTTAAATCTGAAGCTTCTGAAATTGAAATTGAAAAAAATAATTACTGATATTGGCACCAACTGCCCACTACAGCACATTTGCCAGTGTTAGCATGGTGGCTGAATTTATTCTGGTCCAGAATAGTGAACAACATCAGAGGAAAAAGGAGCCAGCCTTGCCCAGACTAGAGAAATTGGTGCAAAGAGTCAACACCCAAGAACTGATCCTGAGAAACACATTTCAGCTCTGTGGCTAGAAGTGTTTGCCAGGGCTCTTTTAGCCATTCCTGGCTAGTAAGATTTTAAGGCAAACTGCCTTGAAGGCTGGTTTAAATTTGATTATTGCCATTTGGAATTCTCTAGATTCCCCTCTCACATTTACTGGTCAAAGTCTTAAGGTCACACGAGCCAAAGAAATACTAGAAAAAAAGCAGATCAAAAATCAATCTAAATCTTTCAACTCCCTGCTCCATAAAGCACATGAGGATACCACCAGCGTGAAACACATGCTATGAAGTAGATAATACTATCCTGATTTTGACAGGTGAGACAAAAAAGGAGAAACCAGAAAGTTTTGTTACTTTTAACTCACTTTCCAAATTAAACAGTAAATCAAACCAAACCAAAACAAAACCAAAACCAAAAAAAAAAAAAAAGAAATGAAAACAAAAACACAGGTGAGGAGTGACTTAATGAGTACAATGTCCACTATTTGACTCTTTGGGTGATGGTTACACTAAATGCCGAGAGTTGGCAATGGCTCCCGCCTGTAATTCCAGCCCTTAGGAGGCCAAGGAGGGAGGATCACCTGATGTCAGAAGTTTGAAACCAGCCTGGGCAACATAGTGGAACCCCGTCTCCACTAAAAATATGAAAATTGGCCAAGCATGGTGGAGCATGTCTGTAGTCCCAGATACTTGGGAGGCTGAGGCAGGAGAACCACTTGAACCCAGAAGGCAGAGGCTGCAGTGAGCTGAGATCGCACCACTGCACTCCAGCCTGGGTGATAGAGTGAGATGGTCTCATAAATAAATAAAAAGTAAAAGACCAGAATTTACCACTAAATAATACATCCATGTAACAAAACTGCACTTTACCTCTTAAATTTGCACCAATAAATAAATGAGGTACTAGAAATAATATGCAAGTCCACTGCTGCTTAACCTCTAGCCAGAGTTCCTTTCACTACACTGTGTACATGAAGGATAAGTCAAAGGAAAGACACAGTGAACAAACTGGAAAGAAAGCACACACAGGGGCAGAGCAGATGATCAGTTTCATAGTCAGAGATTTTTCATGAATGGATGCCAGCGTCTCTATCAGGAGGGAGAGCCCTGGGAAGCACCTTGTTTCTGGTAGTGTCTCACCCCGGAGATGAGAGGCTCTCTCTGAGGGTTTTCTAGTATCTCATTCTTTTCTTTTGTGCTAAGGTCTATCAAGGCTTCTCTCTGGGCTGGACCTCTTCAAGTGAATAAAGTCCACTTTTCTTAACAAAAGAACACTGTCAACAATGAGGATACTTGACTATGACCAACAATAACCATGACCATCATTTACTGAGTACTCTGTAGCATACACAGCTAGGACTAAGCACGTCATATACATCCTCAATTTTAATCTTCGAAGTATCCATTGGATTATTGGGAAGGTTGAAGGAGATAAACACTTTGTAAACTGAAAAGCACAGTAAACGTATTAATCAATATTATCACCATTGTTTTTATTGGCCTATATCTAGCTTTTGAGTATAAGAGTCTCAACTTCTCTTTCTGGAAAATCTCTGTCAATTTTTCCTCTTACCTGCCTCTCAGATAAATTCCCTCCTTATCATCATGGCCACTGACCTTATTAAGTGTCTTGTCATCTTGCACCAGAACTCCTTCTAATTGATCTTTCTGCCTTCAGTCTCTTTCTACCTTAATTCATTCCCCCACAGCAGCCAGATATATTTTTTGACATAAAAATGTGATCTCACTTCCTCCCATAAATCTATATGATGGATCACTGAAACCTACAAGATGGCTTCCAAACCTCCATTGTGGTTACTAGACACCAGGACTCTGCTTTTACCCAACCATACAGGCTCATTACTTGTGGCTCCCCAATTCCCCAAACAAATCTGACTCCTTCAAATCACAGTGCTGTATCCAAGCACACATTCTGCCTGAATCAACCTCTGTCACCTTGTTGTGTAATTGTGTATCTACCACTAGTAGATAATGAAGCTCAAATATCGTCCCTTCTATGAATTAGCTTCCAGTATTTCCTTCTATGTCTGCCTCAATCACAGCAGAGTTAATCTCTCAATGACCCTTCTAGCAACCTGTGCATCATTTGATTACAAAATAATGACAGTACTATTAATAATAATAACTACTAGTATTTTCTCCATCCCGTTTTAAGCTTTATTAAGAGTCTTGTGTAGAATATCTCATACTCACAACAATCTCAGAATAATTTTATAATTGCCCCCGTTTTGCAGATGCATGGTCTAGGCACAGATACATTATTTAATTTTCCAGAGGTTATACCACTCGCAGTAGGGGATGCTGCAGACTCCAGCACCTCCTGTAAGCCCTAAGGTTATAGCCTTCTTCAAAGTCACTGGTTTATCTCAACCCACATCTCATCCTCCAGATCTGCACTGCCCAACATGGTCACCGCCACCCATATGTGTCTACTTAAATTTACAATTTAAGTCATTAAATGAAATCAAGCACTCAGTGCATCAGTTACAGTAGCCACATGACAGAAGCTCCATAGCTGTAATGTTGAACACAAATGTAAAACATGTTCATCATCACAGTAAGAACTATTTCACAGTGCTACACAGTGGGCAGGGATCTTGTCTCCACCCTGGTATCCCTAACACTTTGGACAGTGCAGTTCAATGAAGCTATCGATGCAGAACAAGACTCTTGCTGTATTGGCTTGATTTGTTCACATCAGCAATGAACATCTATCATGTAAATGGGATTGTTGTAAAACAATCTATATCTATAATGTAAGTGGGATTTCTTTGGAACAAATAAGCAACTCCGGCACTAGATCTGTCAGCTCCCATCATTGCCAATCTTACTTTGGAGCAGAGATGTCATGCGTGAGATCTCAACTTTTGCCCCAGTGCCAGGGAGAAGAGGGAGTTTCAGCTCCTGAATCCCAGAAAGCCCACCCCCAATCCCACCATGGGTGCACCAAGAAAAAGTAAGATCTGTTGGTTCCCATCATTACCAATCTCACTTTGGAGCAGAGACCTCATGCATGGGTGGCTCTCTTCAACCTTTACCCCAGTGCCAGGGAGAGGAAATAGTTTCAGTTCCTGAATCCCAGAAAGCCCATGCCAATTCCACTACGGGTACATCATGATAAGAGCTAGCCACACAAATGGATTTAACCATTTGGTGTGTTTAGTTCTAGAGCCTAATGTGAAATTTCCGAACTGGAAATCTACTTTATTTTTCACTGTTTGGATTGTAAATGGAATCATTTCCCTGATGAACATTCCATCAGTATGGAATCTCCCAGGAATTCAAGTGATTTTAATGCTCCGATCCCATCCTTCCTCCCCCATCAAAAATGCAGGGCTAACTTTTCCAACTATTACAGTTTTTCTTATTATTAACAGCAGTGCTTAGCATTTATTTACTTGTTTAAAAATGTCCATAATTTACTCAGCCCTAGGTCTGAACCCTGCATCAACTGGCTCTGACAACTTTAGGCTATGTATTTACTTATCTAAGCTTCTAGTTTTCTTTCAGCTGTAAAATGAAAATATGATTATTATTATCATTACTTCAAAGCATTATAGTGAGGCTGCAACAATAAAATATCCATTAATTGTTCAATACAGCACAAAGTAGTCAACTTAACTGTTGTTGCTATTAGAATTTTTAAAAACTTTATTCTTGGACTATGTTTTGGTAACTTTATATAGCTTCATACCCTTTATTCTTTTTAAAGTTCTGGTGGAGAAGGTATTAGTCCCTCAGCTTTTGAGATGAGGAAAAGGCTCAAAACAATTAAGAGAATTGCTCAAGGTCATGATGAGTGAAGGGCAGAGCCAGCCTTCCACCCTAGCTCTGATGAACTACAGAACCAAAGATCTCCCAGCTCCACCAGGCATCAGTTTCAATTTACAAGAACAGCTCAAACTCAGACCAGTCAGTGTGGCCCAGGGCATCTGTAGCTAGCGGCTGGGCTTGCATAGAAAGCGCCAGGCTATCTGGAGTCTCTGTGATGCACATCCTTCCTTTAACTCTGTAGTACCCACCAGGGAGTGTTACTGTGCAGGCCTTCCTGAAACAGGCAGAAAACCATTAACAGAGGAGAGCCTTCCATTCTCTGCTACCCAAGACATTTAGATTAACACTTTGGAATAGAAGCAAGAAAGGAAATATCAAGGGGAGTCCTTCGGTCCTGGCAACACAGAGCAGGTAATGAAAGAAAAAATCAGAGTCATCTCTTTACTTTTAGAGCCTTTATGTGAATGTCACTCAAACGGCGCCGAAACAGCAGAGCATTTACAACTGGATAAAGGTTTTCCCACCCAAGACTCCTGGAATTCATGATGCCAGTGATACTGAAAATCGGCCATTATCTAAAATCTGCACCTTAAGACAAAGCACACTGCAAACCCCAGGCTTCATGCTCCCCTCAATGTATCTCTGCCTCTGAGCTTGGCCTCAAAAAATACATGTTTGTCTATCATTTAGAAATTTCAGTCGATTCTGCAGGATAAAGAAATAAAAAGAATTTCCTGGAGGAAAAAAAAAAAAGTTCAACTATAACACAACACTTTGAGGAAGATAAAATCGTATACACATATATACACACACTCTGTCTCTTACCTGAAAGCATGCTGGTTCATTTCAATGAGAAACAAATTTGAGGTTGATGCTGATGAAGGCAGTTGTACGTTTTATCACTAATAAGTGACACAAGGGGCCTTATTACAAAATATTTCTAAACATACAAAATTCTGTAATGGGACCCCCAGGGGCCAGGCCCACAAATTGTGTACTCCATGTCTGTATATGCCCAGCCAAGTGTTTCCACGGTAACTAAGACGGCGAATGTAAGCAGTTCAGAATTGCTGGCATACAGAAATCCTAAAGCCTGCTGACTTTATTTTTAGTCTGAACGGTTAGATTTCACATTTCATCAGCATTTAGCTTCTTCTGTTTTCCAACAAACACCACACGCACATGCACGCTGCACCAGATGTCTATAGTTTATCATGCAAATATTACATAGAAGCGATAATCATTATTAACGAACATAATCACCAAAGTTGGGAGGGATATCATTCACTGCCAGTTTGTGCTCAATCCCTGATGTCCCAGAGACAAAAGGGAAAAGAAGGAAAAAAAAATTGTCAGCGATCAGATGCATGCTTTAGCGAAGAACAGAGCTCACGTCCTGCCAAGGGCTACTGGTATGAAATTTCTTCCTATTTTGACAACACTTTTTCTCCCTCAGGAACAGAGGGTACAAAGTCAACAGCTGCCAGAATGGGCCACTGGTTATTCTTCACCCACAGGCTTCCAAATATCCTCCAGCCCCACTCAAGTTCATCTTCTGATGGTGATACCCGCAAGCTTTTGGAGTATAAGTTATAAGATGAGAGGAAAATCAAGCAACAGTCTTCTTGATTTCTCCTTCTCTTTGTTCTTCTCTCTCGTAACAGTTGGTCCTTCTCAGTCTGGCTACCTCCTGCCCTTTTGTTTCTCTAGAGCAGACACCAGTCTTACAGCCTGTGGGTCTCTACAAGCTTGCAGACATATTTTGCTTGGCCCACCTAGTGTTTTAAAAAATAAGATAAAAATAATTAGCTGTCAACTCTTACAGAAAGGGAGGTTCCACATAAAAATCCAAATTTTTGGTAAGTAAACAAGGAAGGAGGGAAGGAGGGAGGGAGGGAGGAAGGCAGGAAAGGAAGGAAGGAAGAAAGAAGGAAGGAATGAATGAACGAACTATCTGCCACACTGGGCCAGCATACCTGTTGTCTAATGGGCTGAGTGGATAAGATTGGCCTTCTTTAAACTGGACAAGCATGATTCATACTGTTAAGTCACCACTTCCTTCTAATGCTATGCCAGGCCCGTCACATGTTTGCTTACTGAGATCCTGTTTTAAGCACCGATCTGCAATTCTCCTCTACCCCTGAAGAGATCCTGGAGCAACCATATCTCTTCATCACCCCCTCACTCCAGGTTTGGACTTGAGGGGAATCTTATAATTCTCTTAAAATTTTCCTTTCTCCTTTTGTCCCTCTCGACCTCCCGTCTCTTCCTCCCTTTCTTCCCTTAAGTAATTCCTAAACACTTCCTATGTGCCTAGCCTATTTCCAATCACTGTGAATGATATACAGAAAGGTCCCATGGCATATGGTCTCAAGGATGTGGCTATTTTTATTGTTTGATGTTTTTTCCCAAACAATAAGTTGGAATATGAAACTTGAAGCCTGGGTGCAGTGGCTCATACCTGTAATCCCAGCACTTTGGGAGGCCGAGATGGGTAGATCACCTTAAGTCAGAAGTTCAAGACCAGCCTGGTCAACATGGTGAAACCCAGTCTCTATAAAAAATACAAAAATTAGCCGGGCATGGTGCTGGGTGCCTGTGGTCCCAGCTACTTGGGAGGCTGAGGCAGGAGAATCACTTGAACCCGGGAGGCAGAGGTTTCAGTGAGCCGAGATTGCACCATTACATGCCAGCCTGGCAATAGGGTGAGAGTCTGTTTCAAAAAAACAAGCAAACAAAAATCCAAACAAACAAACAAAAAAAAAACAACTTGACAATGATTTCTAATGCCACAGTTTTCTCATCTTTAAAATGACCTCACAGTGGTGAACGTCAAACTGGATCTTGTACATTACATGTTAGCGACTTAGCCCAGGGATTGACAATTGATTGTTAACAGTTTAGCAGTAAGACAATCTGGCACCATAGTTAAGAACATGAGCCATGGATCCAAATTCAAATTCTGGCTCACCCTGCTTACTGGTTCTATGGTCTTCAGCAGTATAGTCTCTTTGAGTCTCAGTTTGCTCATCTGAAAAGTGATTTAATGATAGACAACTCCATAATTATGCACTGATGATTAATGAGAGTGCCTACAAGTGTGTAACACAGTGATACCTAGTGAGTAAATTAAGGGCACTTTGATTTAAAAGATTTGTAATATTGGGGTTCAGGGGTTCAGGGTGCCCTCAGCTCCCCTGAGAGGATGTTTCTCTAGGTTCTTGGTCTCCTGTCCTCTCAAGAATGAGAGAGAGGACCACAGCATAGTGCACAGTAAATGCCAGACTCGAAAGTGTTTGTAGAAAGTGATTTATTTAAAGAGAGAGAGAGAAACAGCTAACTCTCACACTGAGTGAGAGAATCCAGAAAGATGGAATCCAGGGGAGGAAAGCAGCTTCCACATTGAGTGGAAGGGAATAGAGAGAGATGGAGTCTAGGAGGGGAAGACAGGCTTCCACGAGAGAGTGTGGAAGGGGCTCCAGAGGGAAAATCCAGGAGAGAGAAAGATGGCTTTCACGAAGGGAGTGTTTGTGGAAGGGGACCCAAACATGGAGTCCCTAATGGCACTTTTAAAGATTTTTTAAAATTAGGGGGACATAGTGGTGCACAGTTGTAGTCCCAGTTACCCAGGAGACTGAGGCAGGAGGATCACTTGACCCAGAAGGTCGAGGCTGCAGTGAGCTATGATGGCATCACTGCAGTTCAATGTAGGTGACATAGCAAGACCTTGTCTCTAAAACAAACAAATAAATAAATTTTTTCAGCACTATTAGGAACACATGATTGGAAATTTGGCCAGAAAATGAGAAATTGAAGCTCTGTCTTCAAAAATCAGAACACATTGTACCAGTGATCTGTTGCTGAATAACAAAACATTTCTAACAGTGATTCAAAACCAACAAAAGTTTATTATCTGTCTAGGATTTTTGGAGCAGAGTCTCACTTCAGGTCTCTCTTGAGGTTTCAGCCAAGGTGTCAGCTGGGGCTGAAGTCATCTGAATGCTTGGCTAGGGATGGGGGAGCCATTCCCAAGATGCTTTGCTCATATTACTGGCAGCTGGTGCTGACTGTTGGTGAGAGTCCTCAGTGTGGGGTCCTTTCCAGAGGGCAGCTTCAGTGTCCTCACGATAGGAGCTGGCTTCACCTAGAGCCAATTATATAAGAAACAGAGGGGTCAGGTGCGGTGGCACATACCCGTAATCCCAGCACTTTGGGAAGTTGAGGTGGGTGGATTGCTTGAGGCCAGGAGTTCGAGATCGGCCTGGCCAATATGGTGAAATCCCATCTCTACTGAAAATACAAAAATCAACCAAGCATGGTGATTCATGATTGTAATCCCAGCTACTTGGAAGGCTGAGGCAGGAGAATTGCTTGAACCAGGGAGGCAAAGGTTGCAGTGAGTCAAGATCGCGCCACTGCACTGCAGCCTGGGCAACAGGGCAAGACTGCATCTCAAAAAAAGAGAGAGAGAGAGAGAAAAGAAACAAAGAGGGAAACCATAATGCTTTTCATAGCCTAGCCTAAGGTATCACATCCCACCCCCAATCTATACTCTAGGAGTCACACCCAGACCTGACTCAGCCTGGGAGGGGACAACGCAGAGGCACAAACCTGGAAGCAAGCATCACTGGGGCTGCCTGGAAGTCTGGGGTCCACACTGTGATCTTCATACACATCTGTAAATAATCCAATGCTATGAAAGAGGATGCACTGTATTCTGAATTATTTTATGACTGGTAGAAATTAGAAGCAGCAGGCGTATACATTTGAAGCCCTGGGCTTCAAGAGAACATGGATCAGACCATTTCCAGAGTCTCTGACACTTCTAAGGAGTTTCCAAAGGAAGGGAAGGTAAAGAGTCTACACCTATTATTAGCATATGTGCAGGCTTTCACTTATATATTATCTCATTGGATCTCAAAAATTCTCATCCATGCATTCACTTTAATCAAATACCAACTGTATATCAGATACTGTACTAGGTGCTGATAATACAGAAAAACAGATCAGACATAAATGTTGCCTCATAGCCCTTACCAGACAGCCAGGGGAAAGAAAGGCTTTGATGAAGTCTGAAGTGTGCACCTCATGCAGGCTTGATGTTCAGATTGCCTAAAAGCAACTTAACGAGTGCTTTCCATAGGCTAGGGATGGCGATGAATGCTTGAGAAGCCGTATTTCACGTAGTTCTACCACCTCCCTTGAAGACAGGTACTCTAAGTGTCTCTAATTTTTATATATGGGGAAAGTGAGCCTTAGAGAATTAAGTCAACGACTCAAGGCTGTGCCGTTACACAGCTAATAAGCAGGACCAGACTCCTGAGTTCAGCTGAGCAGTGGGGAGTACATTCCCACTCCAGTTACGGCTCCTAAGTTCTATACCCTACCCTGGCGCTGTGCCTTCCTAGAGGAAACAGTGCATCTTTCTAAGTCACACAGAGGGCTACCCAGGTCATCAGAGATCCTTGTAGAAAAGGTGAGCACCCCTAGCCCTATTTTATTCATTGCTGTATTACCCTCTCTGCTGTTGTGCACTGAAAGTCAAGGTGACAACAGAAAGCATCCAGAAGAGGGCAGAGAGGAGTGAAAGCTATTGCAGCCACCAGGATGGCCTGCGCTGAACTCATCTTTATTGGCGAGCGGGTAGGGCCAGCTTAGATTGATGTTGAATGGTGGGGCAGACACACATCTGCATATTTTTAGAGGAGTTTTTCAGACAGAAAAAGGGAGACAAAAGCAAAGAGCACTACTCCTTCTTCCTCTTCCCTTGCCTTCAGTTCAAAAATCATTAGATAGGGCTGAGCACGGTGCCTCATGACTGTATTTTCATCACTTTGGGAGGCCGAGGAGGGTGGGTCACTTGAGGTCAGGAGTTCGAGACCAGCCTGGCCAATATGCTGAAACCTCATCTCTACTAAAAATGCAAAAATTAGCTGGGCATGGTGGTTCATGCCTATAGTCCTAGCTACTTGGGAGGCTGAGGCAGGAGAACTGCTTGAGCCTGGAAAGTCAAGATTGCAGTGAGCTAAGATCATGCCCTTGCACTCCAACCTGGGCTTCTCAGCAATCGGCTAAAAATATTTTTTTAAATAAAATAATAATAATAATCGTTAGATGGGACTGAGTAATGTGGACATCCTGGTTGGCGGTTGGGGGCAAGTGGCTTGGGGCAGGGTAAGGAAGGCAGCAGAGCAAGGTTTTGTAGCCTGAGTGGGGTAAGTGTGGTGTCCCAGAGGAAGGGCAGCCACATTCCCTAGTGGGGAGAAGTGGACATTCCTATTGAGGGGTGGCTTTATAAGGGGTGATGGAGGCCTAGTGGAGAGAAGTGCCATTTCTATTTAGCAGTAGCCTGATTCAGGACACTGGACCTAGTGGAAAGCACAGATATCCTATTTAGGTAAAGAGTAAGGGGCGGTGGAAGTTAGCAGGAAAAGGAAGCCACCTGTTCATGAGGTTGGCCAGCACTGAGTGTCGGAGTCCAAGCAGGGAGGGGAGGGCTTCACTGTGGACTGGCTGATCATACCTGGGGTGCAGGAGGCTGAGTGGGATGAGTAGAGCATCCTTTAGTGGGAGAGCAACTAAGGGGACAGGAGATTGGAGAGTGATGGTTAGTAGATGTGATGGTTAGTATTGAGCATCAGTGCGATTGGATTGAGGGATGCAAAGCATTGTTCCTGGGTGTATCTGTGAAGGTGCTGCCAACGGACATTAACACTTGAGTCAGTGGAACGGGAGAGGCAGACCCCCTCCATCTGGGTGGGCACCCTCTGATCAGCTGCCAGCTCGGTCAGAATCAAAGCAGGCTGAAGAATGTGGGAAGACTAGAATGTTCTCGTTTTTCTGGCCTCCATCTTTCTCCTCTGCTGGATGCCTCCTGCCCTCAAACATCAGACTCCGTGTTCTTCAGCTTTGGGACTTGAACTAGCTTCCTTGCTCCTCAGCTTGCAGTCGGCCCGTTGTGGGACCTCACCTGGTGACTGTGGTCAGTACTCTTTAATAAACTCCCCGTTAGACGTACACCTACTCTATTAGTTCTGTCCCTCTAGAGAAC